CCCCGGCACCCGGCGAGGGGCCACTGCGCCCCCCGGCTCCCGCTCCGTGCCCCGGGGGGAGACAGGGCAGCCCCCCCGTCACTGCTGGGCCATCTTGGCCGCCTCTGCCTTGATGAGGGCGATGAGGTCCTGGTTGATGAGGAAGACGAAGCGCAGGCTGGCGATCTGGGGTGGACACGGGGGGTGAGCGGCGCAGGGGGACCCGCGCGGCCGCCCGGCCTGGCGCTCACCTCCACCACCGAGTTGTTGTTGAGCTTCCACTTGTTGCCCCCGAGCACGGGGCGCCCATCGATGTAGATGGGGCGCCGGCCCTCGTTAGCGATGAAGAAATCCCCGTTGTTCTTCAGCTTGATGATGCCTGGAGAGGGGAGGAAACGGGGGGTCAGCTCCGAGGCGGGGGGGCCGCGGCCCCGGCCCCGGCGTCGCCGCCCTGACCCTGTTTGCGGGAGATCTTCCAGGCCGGCCCCTCCAGCGCCAGGTCCACATCGATCTGGTTGTCCTTGGTGGCTCTGCCCAGCGTGATCTGCGGGAGGAGGAGGAGGATGCAGGCAGGGGGACACTGGGGACACTCCCGGGAGGGGACCCGGCCCCCGCACTCACCTCCCGCGAGCGCATGAGGTAACGAACCATGCGGCCCCGCAGCACGGCCAGCGTCTGGCTGTCGAAATCCGGGGAGCTCATTCCTTGGCGGAAGGAGGGATGAGATGGACACGAGGACGGACAGAGGGACCCCCCCCACACACACACACACAACCAAACCACCCCCCCACCCGGGCTCCTTTTTGGTACCTGTGATGCTGTCGACCAGAACTTGCCACTTGGGCAGGCTCCTGCTCCAGCTGCCGGATCTCCCGCTTCTGGCGCCGGTCGGCCACGGTCAACTCTAGGGCGGGAAGGGTGAGCGGAGCCACCCGCGTCCGGAACCTCATCCCGGGGCCGGACCCTGCGGACCTGGAGCGGCCCAGGGTGTGGGGCTGCACTCACCGTGTTCCAGCACCTCGTCCCGCACATCCCTGCGGAGGACAGGGAGGTCCCGCAGGAGCGAGTGCAGGAGCCAAGGGGAAGGGCCGACGCCAGCGTCGACAGATGTCCAAGGAGGCGAAGGGGGGCAAAAAAAGGCACTTTAGTGAAAAATTTGTGCTCCTGAAAAATTTGCGCTCCAAGACGCACTGGGAGCTGCACAGGCGGGAAAGTCCTCACTGCAGCCCCCCACATCCCCAGCCCTGCCCTCACTTGAGCTTGTTATCATCCAGCATGTCCTCGGCGTCCGAGAAGTTCAGCACCTGGTCCCCCTTGGGCAGCTGCTGCACTGGAGGGGACAGGGACACGGAAAAGGGCCGGGGGGGCTGGGGGGGGCTCCCCCGCGGGCCTCACCGCTCTGGTCGTGCAGCAGGTAGTACTGCTTCATGAGCTGCCAGTGCAGCTGCAGCGCCCGCGCCGTGCGCGCCGGGTAGAACACGTCCGGGTGCTTGTGCAGCAGCTCCTGGAAGGTGTCCAGCGTGGGCTGGCTGCTCTGCGGAGGGCGAGGGGGGACACGCGTCACGCGCGGGACACCCGAGGGCCGTCCCCCCGCCCCGCCGAGCGCCCCTCACCGAGCCCACTTTGTGGAGCAGCTGCTCCTCGGCCTTGCTGAACAGCACCTTGCTCTGGATGGCGGCGATGGCCTCGGGGTGCAGCT